CTGAAGAAGGGTCTAGACCCAAAACGTCAGCTTTTCTGCTCCTCTGATGCTGCTTGGCCTGCTGTGTTCATCCAGCTCTACACCTTGTTACCTGTCATTAACAAATGCTTTGTTTGAAAGCCCATCAGCAAATAATTATTTTTTTCTTAGTTCCCCTGTTGGTTTTGGAGCTTAATAGATCTTCTAAACTTCATATCAATCACAGTATTATGGAAAAATATTACTGGTACGAGTACAGATAAATATTAATGACTTTTTTGTGAGTTTCTATTGACTGGCTTTGCCTCCAAAGTTTTCAATATAATTTGAAATAGAATTAGTGACTTACAGATTGATTCACATCTATTTGGTATTTTTCATTTTGTTTGATTTTCCACCTGTCCCTTCTGGGATGTATATTTTTCCACCATGAATTAATGACACTTTGAATTGTTATTAACACTGTTATATGAACCTTTCAAAGCAATTTATCAAACCCCTCATGCACCTTATTCTTCCAGGGCATGTATATAGTACCTGTCACTTTATAATCATGTGAGTGCCACTCCATGACTGACCAGTGGGAAGTGTACCTCAGTATTACAAAGTTCATACTGCTCAATCACATCTGTACCTCACAGTTGAACACAGTTTATCAAGAATTGACAAAACTAATATTCATCCTGCAAGCAAGGATGTGAGAATGCCTGATGAGGCTCAGGGCTTGATTTGTTACTATCAGTACCAGATATCTCCATATATTGCCTCTAAACTGGCAGCTAAGGTAAATCTATGATATTTGTCACACAACAAGCTATGCAAATAAAACATCTGCTGTTGTTGTTGGAAACCAATTTTTTTTTTGAGGTGCATATTATAATCATCTAAAGCTTTCATCCAATAGTTCTACAAACAAGACTTGAAGAACTAGAAAAGAAATAAAAAACTGAAAACTGTGGAAGCTGGAAATCTGAAATAAAAACAGGAAAGTCAGGCATATGATTTCAGATAGCATGTAAAATCGATTTTACTTAATTAAAAATACTTTATGGTCTGGCACTATCTGTGGAGTGAGAAGTAGTTAGGGATTCAGGTCTGTGACCTTTCATCAGAAACAGTTCTGATGAAAAGTCATTGATTCTGGAGAAGAGCCAGAAGATTGGAAAATTGCCAATGTGACTCCCTCCCTATTCAAAAGGGAGGGAGGCAAAAAGGAGGTAGCGGATTAGCTTCACATCTACAGTTGGAAAAATGTTGGAACAAATTATTAAGGAAAATCTAGAAGCACATTTGGAAAATCATAATGTAATCAAGCAGAGTCAGCATGAAAGGGAAACAATGGCTGACTAATTTAATAAAGTTTTTCAAAGAAATCTCAAACAGAGCGAGTACACTGGAACCAGTAGATGTGGTTTATTTGGACATTGAGAAGGCATTCACCTACAAAAGGTGAAGTCACAAGATAAAAGCCCATGCTGTTACAGATAGTGTACTGGCAAGGGCAGAGAATTGGCTAATGAGCAGGAAACAGCAAGTGGGGCTAAGGAGTTCTGTTTCAGGTTGGCGACCTATAAGCAGTGCAGTTCCACAAGGACCAGTCCTAGGACTGCAGTCACTTATAACATATATTAATTATTTGGAGGAAGGAAATGAATGTACTGTAGCCATATTTGCAGATTACATGAACAGAGGTGGAAGGCATGTTACAAGAGGGATACAATTTACAAAGAGAGATTGATAGGTTAAGTAATTGGGTGAAAAGTGGGCAAATGGTGTTGACGTGAGATGTAAAGTTGTCCATTTTAGAAGCGAGAACAAAAAGCATCATTATTTAAATGGAGAAAAACTGCAGAAAAGTGCAATACAAAGGAACTTGGAAATACTTATTCACAGGTGCAGCAAATAATTAGGAAAGCTAATGGAATGTTGGTCTTTATTTCAAGGGGGTTTGAGTATAAGAGTAAGTCTTACTCTAACTGTACAAGGTGCTGGTGAGACCACATCTGGGGTACTGTGAGCTTTGTTTTCCTTCCCTTATTTAAGGAAAGATTGTTTTATTGGAGACGATTCAGACAAGGTTCACTAGGATGATCCCCAGTATGGAGGGATTTACTTTTGAGCAAAGGCTAAACAAGTTAGGACTTTACTCACTGGAGAGGTGATTGCATTGAAACATACAGACTTCTAAAGGAGCTTGACAGGGTAAATGCTGAGAGGATGTCTCCCCTCATGGGACAGTCTAGGACCAGAGGGCATAGTCTCAGAATAAAGGGGCACCAATTTAAGACTGAGATGAGGAGGAATTTCTTCTCTCCGAGGGTTGTAAGTTTTTTTGGAATTCCTTGCCACAGAGAGCTGGGAGCAGAGTTCTCATGTATGTTAAAGTTGAGATAGTTTTTTGATCAGCGAGGAGTCGATAATTTTGGAAAATGATAGGAAAGTGGTTGTTAGGCATATTGGATCAACTGTGATCCTTTTGATTGTTGGAGCAGAGTTGAGGGGCTGAAGGGCCTCCTCCTGTTCCTATTTCTTAGGGTCTTATGGACTTGAAATGATAACTCTGTTCTCCTCTCCACTGATGTTACTAGTCCTGCTTTTTATAAAATGTAATATTTCTGGTAATTTTGCATTAGAAAAAATCAACCATATAACTTTTAATCATTTTTCACTGATTAGTTGTTGGAATTTAGTAACATTCGATTTGATGTTCATAATTTCTGTGAAAGGACTTGTTTGATTCACATGATTTCTCCATGTTTGTAACATTGACATTATCTACTCAAAGGTATTAATGCCATGGGACTGTACAGAATGAGTGGAGTAAATTCCAAAGTGCAGAAGCTAATGAATACTGTATTTGGTAAGACGTTTCTTCAATTCTCAAAAGGAGTTGCACAAATTATACACTGCATATTTTTCATTTTATGTGTCAGATTATGTATGTTTTTAAGAGCTTATTCCTAGATTTTCAATGATTATTAAACACAGCTGTAAAGTTTTGCATAGATTTGCGATCTGTTTCATATATCCCTAAATGCCTTGATACATTTGTTAGCTGTGTGTAGGTAAAGGTTAACTCATTGCAGATTTTTGCCTAGTGGATCTGTTTCTTAAAACATGAAGCCATCATACAGAACATCTCTTGTATGTGGATAAGACCAAAACATGTATGATGCTGTAGATTTTTTTCACGTCAATAGAACCTGGCCTTTCAAACAACAACAAATGGATAGTCCATGATTGATCACTTCACCCAACTCACGTTGATTGCAACTGGTCATCAGCTAAGAATTTCTTGGCTTGTTGCAATCAATGCTGAACCACTCCATAAAGTTGAATGTGACATTCCTCATGGTTACTGTCTTCACTTTTCTTCTTTGAAGATATCTGTAATTTTCCCAGCTCTTACAAACATATCACATGTCTTCTTTGCCTGCTCCAGTTGGGCAGACCACAACATGCTAAGATTATACAGTACACTCCATCTGGACTGCACTACAAGAGCTAACCCATCATTAGAACCTCATCTTTAGGAGACCTGTTGTCTGGTCCACGATGGCTCTTGTGGAAGAATGGGTTGCATTGTGTCTGGACTCGGCCTCAGTCAGAGGTTTGCATAATGGAGTCACCATCCATGGTTACAGAGACTACATTGTTACCTTGTCACCCAGTAACCATCGTTGTAGGGCATCTAGCCCTTGAAAAGAAGCCAGAATCTGAGAGGCCTCAAGAATATAGCCTCATGGCAGAAGAGAAACATTTCTAAGGTGTGGCGATTTGCATCTCACACAAGTAACAGTTTAGCATAGTCCTCCATTCAGTGGAACGTGAAGGACTCCAACAAGGAGGGCCAGGGAATGCCTTTACATGGACCATTGATATGGTAGACTTTATTCCCACATGTGCAGCACAAGCCATCCTGTCCAAAGACAGTAGGAGATTGTAAGTTCAATTGGACTACTGAAACCCTGCACCCAGCCCCAGCCCATCCCTTCACATTACCCAAGAAATGCAGCATTGCATACAAGAGCATGTTAGTGAATAGTTACAGTTTCAAGGTTAATGATTAAGAAAAAGATAGCTCCATGCCCTTCTGCAACCTATGAGATTTGATTGCCTTCATGAATTATGACTCATCAGTAATGCTTTTAAGGTCATCTCTGATTACCTCTGGTTCACAGAGATGACTGTAATCAATTTGTAGTTACCAACAACCTGATCAAGACACCTTGTATTCAGGACTTGTTTCCCACCTGGTTGGTCACTGTGCACGTTTCACATACAGCTTACTGTGATGACACTTGTCTTTAACCTGGACCAGTAAATGCAGCTACCTCTTGAAGGACCTCACATATACACCCCAAATAAGCACAGTAAATATGGGTGAATGAGGATGAGATTGCAGAGTGCTTGGAAGTGCATGGTAAAACAGGGCAGAGTCAGCATGCCTTCATCAAAGGAAGATCATGCCTGAAAAATTTGTTAGAGTTCTTTGAGGAGCTGTTGAGCAAGTCTGATGAAGGAGAGCCAGTGGATGTGATCTCTTTGCCCCAAGGCAGGTGCAAAATAAGATAAGAGCCCCTGGTATTAGGGGCAAGGTCCTGGCATGGATAGAGGATTGACTGACTGGCAGAAGGCAGAGAGTGAGGATAAAATTATCTTTTTCAGGAAGGCAGCTGGTGACTAGTGGAGTTCTGCAGGGATCCATGTTGGGACCACAACTATTCACATTATACATTAACGATAAGAACAGAGGAGCTGAGGGCATTGTTGAAAGGTTTGCTGATAGCACATAGAAACATAGAAGATAGGAGCAGGAGGAGGCCATTCGGCCCTTCAAGCCTGTTCCACCATTCTCCACAACCATGGCTGATCGTCCAACTCAAGAGCCTGCTTTCTCCCCGTAACCTTTGATGCCATTCACCCCAGTGCTGATTCTAGTCGCCTCTTGAATACATTCAATGTTTTGGCATCAAATACTTCCTGTGGTAATGAATTCCACAAGCTCACCACTCTTTGGGAGAAGAAATGTCTCCTTATCTCCGTCCTAAATTGTCTACCCTGAATCCTCAGACTGTAACCCCTGGTTCTGGACACACCCGCCATCAGGAATATCCTCCCCACATCTACCCTGTCCAGTCCTGTTAGAATTTTATAAGTCTGTATGAGATCCCCCCTCATTCATCTGAACTCCAGTGAAAACAATCAGAACCTAGTCAATCTCTCCTCATACGTCAGACCCACCATCCCCAGAATCAGCCTGGTAAACCTTCGCTGCACTCCCTCGAGAGCAAGAGCATTCTTCCCCAGAAATGGAGACCAAAACTGTTCACACTTTGAGCAGGAAGTCTGGAATCACTTTGTGTTTTCATTTTTTATACTTTCATTTCTATTTGGACATACATGCACTGATTGTATGTATTCTGACCAAAGTGCAATTTTTTTTTTACTGCCTGACCAAATTGTCTAATATAATTCAATTCCAAAATACTGGATCATACCACTCAAAAACAGTTCCTTTTCTTGGCTATTGCTGCTAATACAGTAAAGTTACTTGTTTTTTTTTATCTTCCACACCTGCCTATTCAAATGTCACTGATTTGGTTCCAGCATTTCTGTTATGCTACATGCTCAAGCACCACACTGCACTGAAAGTTAAACTTGAGAATTGGATGCTACAGAAGGCAGCCAGTGCAAGTTACAAAAAAGAAATAAATTAAGTTTTTACATTTATGGTTTTGCTGAGGGAAATTCCATACAATGAGGAATGGCTGAGAAATGCATAATATTCCTCTAAAATATTCTCTGTTGGCAGTTAGAGTCAATAAATGTGAAGCTGGAAGAGTTTCAGTCCTAAACATTGACTTCCCTGCCCCTCAGATGCTGTCTGAGCTGCTGAGCTTTTCCAGCTCTACATTTATCGATTCTAACTTCCAGCATCTGTCGTCTTTACTGTCTCCAAGCCTCTGTTGGAAGTTAGGATTTGTGTAAAAAGTTGTGATTTTTGGAAAATGATTTATCCTGTGTAAATTACTTGAAGCTGTGATATTTATCTTGTTAATTTTCTTCAATCAGTACGTGTTGTAAAATTGAATTGTTATCTATGTTAAACATAATATATACATGTTTTCTTTCTCAATAGCACCTAAAGCACCACCTGACATGGAACTTGATAGTGAATTGTGGGATATGAAGACAATTACAAGTGGCCTTAAAACTTATCTCAGGTATGGGTTAATGGACTAGGATCAAGGCTGAACCTTTAGTAACGGAGGCTGAGCTCTGCAGTTTCAATATGACTGGTAGAAGGAGAACAGTAAGTGTGCGGTCCCCTCATTCCTGCCCTCACTGTTTTGCATTTTGAATCCAGCATCAGCTTTTATGAGGGGGTCTCCAATCCAAATCCAATGTGAGGCAGGATGTCTAGCAGGAGAAGGTGGGGGAGGTATGTTCCACCCACCAATTTAAAGGTCCCTTTTAGTCTCACTATTTCCAGTATTGTTATGTCAATCTTTAAAACTGAACAAATCAACTCTACTGACAGCTAAACACTGTTGTTACACACAGGAATGGTCCTGTTTGTAGGCCTGTATTCTTGAAGCTTACTCATATGTGGCATAACTCATTCCCAACATGTTTCCCATATGATTAATGAAACATGGAGTGATCATTGGAGAAGGACAGTCGGTTGCTTCTTAACAGGTTCAATAGCTTTTTTTTTTTCAAAAGGGAGGGATGGCTTCCAATTTCAGCATTCACCCACTTCCTGTATTACTAGACACTGATGGAATAATGTTGGCTCACAGAATCTGATTTTGTTACATTTTATTTTTATGTTGGCCAGGTTTCTGGAAAAACTCAGTCCTCCAATACTAGTTGCATTAGAATCTATTGAATTCACATGAATGGATATACCAGGCCTGAGTTAAAATATATGAAAGACAGCATAACGTATAATGGAACAATGTCAAGGTACTGTACTGCAGTGCCAGCAAAGAATTTAGGCATTTAAATTGCTCAAATGATCAAGAATGTTGTGACTTTACATTTCTTTTAAGGTCATGCCATCTTGTTAATTTTATAAGTGTCAATAATAGATTTCATAGACAGATTACATAAGTATTTCAGGTGTTCATTCTAGTGTGACAATATCATGACAAATCACACTTGTTTTATTCCTATCTGTGAGGAGCATGTCATCAGACAACATTATTGCCCATCCCTATTTGCCCTGGAGAATGTGGTAGTGAACTGCCCTCTTGAACTGTTGCAATCCTTGTGCTATAGGGACATCCACAGTCTCGTGACCAAGTGAATTCTAGGACTTGGTCCCACATTCTGCGGTACTAGTCTTCTTTACTTTGCTGCAATGTTGCCAGAATTCAGCCTTTGCAGCATCCAGTGCCTTTTCTTCTTATACCATGAGTAATTCAAATTGTTTTTGTCTGTGATACTGGGGTCTTCAGGAGGAGGCCAATATTGATCATCCTCTTGACACTCGTGACAAATAATGGATGCAAATACTGCAGTCATGACTTTTGCACTGACGATGATATGTTTCCCCAACATTGTAGAGCCTTCCTTCTCCTTTCAGTTGTTCAATTGTCCACATCATTCACAAGTGGCTGTGGCAAGACTGCCAACTTAGATCTGTCAGCTGTGACCCAGCTGTCAATTGCATGCCGTTTCTGTTATTTAATGTTCAACTAATCATGTGTAGTAGCTTCACCAGGTTAAGACCTCATTTTTAGGTGTGTGTGTTGTTGCTCGTGGCATGTCCTCCTGCACTCTTAATTGCACTGGGGTTTATCTCTCAGCTTAATGATAATGGTAGCGTACAGAATTAGATGCCACGAAGCTACAGGTTGTGGTTAAATACAATTCCTGGCTGCTGATGGCATCCATAACGTATTGTGGACCCAGTTTTGAGTTGCTAGATCTTTTCAAAGTCTGTCCCATTTAGCACAGTGGCAGTACTGGACAACATTACAGAGGGCATTGTCAGTGTAAATCACCTCCATAATGACTGTGCAGCAGCCATGCCTACTGATGCTAACATGAATAAATGCATCTGCAACAGGTAGGTTGGTAAAAATGATGTCAACATCAGCCAAGGGTAGCACAGCAAGGCATGTCAGCAGGAGTATTGTTTGACTTGATGTCATGACATTTTGTGGGATCCAGAGTCAACATTGATGACTTGTAGGGCAAGTGTTCCCCGCTGTATACCACTATGCCACCAACACTGGTGGATCATTCCCGGGATGGTTTTTATCAAGGGGTACTGATGGCGGTGTCTGGGACATCCAACAATATTGCAATATGTTGCTTGACCTATCTGTAGGACAGGTCTCCCAAATTTGTCACAAACCCCTAGATGTTGGTAAGAAGGCTTTACATGGTTGACAGGATGCTGTTGTCATTTCTCGTGTTTAGGTTGATTCTGGCTGTTCTGTGTGGTTTCAGTCATTTGCTTTGACTTTGTGTAGTTCACTATCACTGAATAGCTTACTAGGTCACTGCAAGAGTGCAGTTAAGAGTCAAGCACATTGTAGTGGGGTCTGGAGTTATGTGTTGGCGGGATTAGATAAGGATTACTGACTTTCTCTATAATTAATGAAGCAGACAGGTTTTAAAAAAATTGACAATGATTCTTTTTGTTGAATTCAGATTTCTCATCTCCCATGGTAGGAGTCAAGCACCTATCCTCAGAACATTAGCCTGCGGCTCTGGATTATTAGTACTGCGCAAATTCATACATTTTCCACTTCTTTCTTTAAACACACTCAAAACTTATTTTGCACTAAATCAGCTTACTGTAACACTATGCTGAACACTGCCAGAAACAACAGTACTGAAATAAAAGATGACAGATTCTGAAAATCTGAAGTCAAAACAGAAAATGCTGAAAATTGCTGTAGGTCTGGCAGCACATGCAGAGAGAAAAAGAAGAGTTTATGCTCATAGTCATTTGACAGTACAGAACTTGAGTAATGCTAAAAAATATACATTTTGTTGATGCTTGTCAATTTGCAATAATCTGGATGATTCACAAGAATATTCTTGCAAATAATCCTGATGAGTGCAAAATAAAAAACGTGGAAAAAAATATTTTTTCAAGGTTGTGCTCCGATCAATGACCGATCAAAATTAACAACAGATCATTGATCTGAAATATCAACACAAACAAGGTGCATCTAACAGAAAGTCAGTAACTTGAAATGTTAACCCTGACCTGCCTGGAATTTCCATCATACTCTGTTTCAAATTTTGGATTTATAGTATCTTTAATGGCAAGACTCTTAAATGTGAAATCAAGATTTGAACAAACTCTATGGAAATATGGTGCTGGATATTACATGGCTTGGTGTTCACTCACCACCTTAGCTCACCCCCATTGTACATAGTGTGGGCAGGCTTTGGTTTCATATGTATCTACAGAATTACAGAATTAAAGCTAATACAGAAATTGTTAACAGATCAATTGACCTAAATAATATCCTAGACATGGAAAAATATGGTTGGCGAGGGCAGGTGGGTGAGAATAGGATCAAACAGAGAGGAGGATTCTCTGCAGCCTGCTGTAAGGTCATCAGGGTCTATCTGACCATCTACCCATGCAGCAACATCCCTTCCTCACATGGAAAACTTGTTGGCAGCAGTGGGAGTAGCCCTTTAATTGGTAAAACAATATACAGCCACACTTCCTGCTGCTAGCAACATACCATGCTGAGTAGACATTGGGCTTCCCCACCCAATGTATTCCCTTCACCACAATTCTGAAGAAGGGTCATTGGACCTGAAACGTTAACTCAGATTTCTCTCCACAAATGCTGCGAGATTTTCTAGCAATTTCCATTTTTGTTTCAGATTTCCAGCATCTGCAGTTCTTTCATTTTTTTTCTTCAGGTTTTAAAAGAAATTGGGAAAGGAATTTACAAACAGTCAGGCTGAAATTCTGCCATTGTTTTCCAATACTGTCTGGGTACCATTCTGTAGAAATACTCAAAGGCTGTCAATTGCAATTTTGCATATGGTGACATACATTTTTGCTACTCAGCAATTGTTAGATTATTTGAAAATTGTGGCAGACATAACAGAACATCAGGTTTAGGTTTGGAGATAGTAAGAACTGCTGATGCTGGAAGTCTGAGATAACACAGCGTGGAGCTGGAGGAACACAGCAGGCCAGTCAGCATTTTGAAGCTAGTAAAGTCCACAATGAGACCAGTGGGTTGTAGGCTCCCAAATCCACCTTTTATCCCATGACCATACTTCATTCCCTGACCAACCCTCCCTATCATCCCCACCTCGTTGACCTGTCCGTCTTCTCTCCCACCTATCCGCCCCTCCCACCTCACTGACCAATCCCACCACTGCCTACCTGCACTCACCTATCGCCATCCCACCTACCTTCCCCAGCCCCACCCCCCTCTCTATTTATTTCAGAGCCCCCTTCCCCCTCCCCATTTCTGAAGAAGGGTCCTGACCCAAAATGTCAGCTTTTCTGCTCCCCTGATGCTGCCTGGCCCGCTGTGTTCATCCAGCTCCACACTGTGTTATCCTAGGTTTAGGTTTATTTGGTTTCTTGTGGTTTATCATCAAGTCACAAATCACAGTAAAAGTTGTATTGTTGCCAAATGTCTAAATCCTAACCGAGGATATTTCTTTTCCTATCCTAGATGCCTTGTGGAACCATTGATGACTTATAAACTGCATAAGGATTTAATTGCAGCTGTTAGTAAGTAGCTATTATGAAGATTTGACATTAGTTTGTACAGAAGTTTGAAAGTAATAGACTTTTCAGAGAAAACCTGAGAACACAGAGTTTACATAATTTTCATGTTGAGGCAGCAGATAGACCAGTTATTGCTGGGACACTGGAGGTTTTTTTCTTGGTTTCTGAATCATTTAAATTAGTACAAATCAAAACTCAAACATAAGCCATTCCGTCCAATCACTGAATTTTGACAGATTGGCAGTGGCCCCAAAGAAGAGCCAGAAAGTTGGAGGCATCCTGCTCTTTTTTTCCTGTAATGACATATCCAAACTTTCAGTTGACTACTATAAAATTGAGTAAAATTGTGTCATGGAGAAAGTTTCAGTTTTTAGAAAAATTCCTCCCATAAATTGAATTTCTTTCCAATTATCTCATGCTGAAGTGATTAATGATTGTTGTGCCGTCTAAGCAGGAAAGTGTGACCATATTTGGCCATCAGATAGTCATTATTTTAAAATACATTCCTTGAATGAAAGGTATTCATGTAAAACTAAAGTATCAGTTTAATTTATTATTAATTCTAGCATTTAAAAAGTGTCATTAGACTGAATCTGTTGTATAAACTTCTACAGAATCAGATGACCAAAATTACAGAGTCCGTGCTGTTCACGCATTGGTTTATAAATTGCCAGAAAAGAACAGGGAGATGCTTGACATTTTGCTGAAACATTTGGTGAAGTGAGTAGTTTTGTTTTTTCTGCCAATGGTGATCATGCTTACTTAATTTATGTTGCATTTTAGACATCTATTTTAACACTTTGAAATTCATTTACTGTTCATTAATTCTTCATAATTTTAGTGCCATTGTAACCTGTTAATTAAAGGATACTGGTAATGTCATTAATTGCAAGGGTGAAGTATGAGTGTTTTTGGTAACATGCCCTCTGATCAAATTAATCTATAAGATACAAACTTAATTCTTAATTTTAAAGTTTCTAAGTGAAAAAAATGCCATTTATTGTTTCAGCAAGTGAATCTACTAAGAGTATAATAGGGCTTGTATCATTGTTGCTAAAAATATTTTTAAGTTTAATGAATTGATTGATTTTGGATATGCTGTGAATGGCTGTGACTCAATGTTAGCAATTCACTTTGTAATAAATAGTCAGTGCTTATATACATAATATGTCACAAAAATTAGTAGATGACTGGAGACATGGTAGAAAAAGCTATGTCCGAAATAATATTTTGCTCATTGTAATCCATGTAAACTTAAGGTTCTTTTAAGAAAGATAACATCATCAGCAAGGTCTCCGCACTTGCACACTGGAAAAATGACTTTTATCCTTCCACAACAAGTAGATATGGGAAAGTCAATCAATACAGTTAATTACAGAGTGACACATCCATTTAAATAAACAGTCATCAGTGCAATTCAAAATAATTGATGCATATTACCCAGTTTTTAACAATGTGATCTATTTAGGATAGTCCCAACACTGAAAAAGTCTCCCCCACCTGTGCTACTATTACACCCAATATTTGCACATGCCTCAACTTGGACCACAGAGAACACCCCATCTTTCAACCAAACGAACCCAGCTTGGAATCAAATAGCAAAACTTATATAAAATCAAATTATAATACAAAATAAAACTAAAATGTAGACCTTGGAACTGGGACTGAATTACATCAATATGCATTGGTTCAATTATTCTTCCAACTCTTATTACCTGCAGGTGTCCAAGCAAGGAAATCAAGACCAAGTAATACCTTTTGTTTTGTTCATTGGATGTGACAAGGCCAGCATTATCTGACACCATTTTACTACTGTTAACATGAACAGCTTGGTATCAATTGCTATTAGTGGCTGTGGGTGATAGTATAGATAGTCGCCCATGAGTTTAGGCTCTGTTAGTCTTAGATTTGTACTAAAACATTTCCTTCACGATTTTCTTCCGTACCTTTTTCAAAGTGTTCACACTAGTGACAGGAAGTCAATGGGCACTTTGTGTCAAAGACAGAGTGACCATTATTAAAGGCCTTCAGAGACTTTGGTGAATGCCAACAAATTATTCACTCAAAGGGCATGACAGATTTACCCGTTCTCACCTAACAGATATAAGAATGTGCTTCCAGTAAATGTGTCTAAACAATTAGAGCTGGGAGACTTTGCTCCATGAAATCTAACTGTAGTATCTCAACTAATGAAGTTCAATAACCTTAACTCTAATTCTAAACAGAGCAGGGATGGAAGCAGGGATCTCTCAAATAATGAAATTCTTGTTAAAACATTGTCTAGAAAAAGTAAAGAATATCCAGTTAAAGCAAAGTTGGAATTGACAGATGTACTCCAGGCTTCCAGTTCAGAAAATGTGCTTTTCTTTTGAGCAACTTACAAAATAAATTGATAAAGACAAATGAGTGCAATAACAATGGTTGTGAAGATGAAGAGAAAATATGGTCAAGGTAAATTAGTCATGCTTCACATGGATGACCTAGAATGTACAGAAAAAAAACTATCCTCCAGTATCAGAGATAACACAGTGTGGAGCTGGAGGAGCACAGCAGGCCAGGCAGCATCAGAGGAGCCGGAAAGTTGACGTTTCAGGTCGGGACCCTCAATCTCCTCCAGTATCATTGTCTAGGAATCCGGAGAATAGTTCACATTAAAGGTGAGGAACATTGTCAGATTTTCTGTCAGCCAAATAATCATTTCTGCAGTGTACATGAGTTGCACATGAGGACCATGGTTGTTTGGAAGAATATTTCAGTTTGCAGAACAATTCAGATCTACATAATGGCTATGCATCAAATTATATAAGTGAAACAAATGAACCAAAAGAGAAAGGCATCGAATAGATGAAGTAGTTTGAATAGAAATATGTTTATGGTTCAGATAAATACAAAGCTGAGACTAGGAAAGGGACTTGTCAGATGAATTGAGGATGGAATTGCATCTAAATGATTTTCACGCAATGGCCATTCATGGGAGAGTCCTCAAATACAACTCTTTTGAGACCAGAGATAGTAAGAACTGCCGATGCTGGAGTCAGAGATAACGCAGTGTGGAGCTGCAGGAGCAAAGTGGACCAGGCAGCATCAGTCCCGACCTGAAATGTCAACTTTCCTGCTCCTCTGCTGCTGCCTGGCCCACTGTGCTCCTCCAGCTCCAACTGTGTGTTATCCTTTGAGACCATCTGTCTTTGCAGCATGTGGTGGCAGTAAGTAAAAGTAAAGAATAACTTAAGGGAACTGATCAGTGGGCTACTGACAAATATGCCTTTGGATAAAAATCTCAGGGAATGATAGTGAAATTGCAGAGACTCAGCTTCAAAGTGGAAGGTGAACAAACAATTTTGATGTAACCACTTTACATTAGAAATAAGGGAAACTGGAGAAAATGGATTGTATTCAAGAAGACATTGGCTACATTTCTGGCAGAAAAATATGATTAAAAGGTGCAAAAGATAGCTGATCATACATTGTCTAAAGTGTAATGATCTCTTTCAGCCTTAATATTCCTACATTCTCATAGATTCAGCTACTTTGAATGTCTGTTTCCCAGTTATAAATAAATGTAAATGCCACTTCTAAACACAATAATTTTCACTTTCTGTAATTTCAGAGTATCCACTCACAGTCAAAAGAACCTGATGACTATATCCAATTTGGGTGTGATTTTTGGTCCAACACTAATGAGATCCCAAGAGGAGACTGTAGCAGCAATGATGAACATTAAATTTCAGAACATTGTGGTTGAGATTCTGATCGAGAATTATGAAAAGGTAGGATCGGAGTTATCTGTTTTTTCCAGTGGCTATATTTTGTATTTTAGGTAGCTCATTGTCATAGGTCATGGATAAAGACAAAACGTAAATGTCACTTTTTAAAGTTGTCTTCCTGCTTTGTTTCATTTTCATTACATCTGCCATCTATCTATGTATTGAGCTACAATTTTCCCCATTTTATAAGTGATAGGTGATGATTAACTTGTCACTCCCGCTGCCAAGCATTTTTTTTGCTGGATTACACGCCAATCAGCTGGTTGAGAGATTCCCAGGAAGGTTCTCGGTGTATTACAAGCCTCAACACTAGTGAACCAGCTTATTAGAATCTGTTAGCCAATCAGAGATCAGCAGCTTCTGCATCCTAAAGGCTGCTGATCAAATCCCAGGTTTAAGAGGATCCAATGCCAATGTAGTCTTTTTACTTGGCTTTCTGTGGGGTGATGTTCAGAGGTGGATGGAATCATGGATAGAAGCTAGGGCCAGCATGGAGACATTTAGAGACCATTTCTCTGCCTTCATGCCTTTGATTACGCCCAGATTGAGGCAAATGGTCCTCCCTTCAAGAAGCCTCAAAACTGACCCCAGTGGTTCCTAACCAGACTTTGCAAATGACCAATCCTGGATACCAGGTTTAAAGTGTAAACAAATGATTAACAATTTATTAATAATACAGTAAGTGCAGCAGAGCAATGTTGAACCATAAGTTAATGTAATTACTGTATTAAATTTAAACCTAATCCTCTTTAATTCTAAACCCCATTCTCTCACAAAGACAGAAAGACAAATGGACACAGTTAAGGAATATATCAAAAGTGTAAAATAAATGAGATGTAACTGGCCAGGTCACTTGAGCAGACTCCACAACTTATAACATCACCGACATATGGGATTGTATCTTGCTTGGTTTCTGACTGCAACAATGTGTGCAGATAGCTTCCTGTAGGCTTTGAGGAATATATCACTTCATTCTTACAACAGATTCAGTTCTTCAAGTTTCCAATAAGCTGATAATGCGAGCACAGCCAGAGAACATTCAAACCTCTGTCCTGCTCAAAACCAGTGCAAATTCTGGTCTCCCTTTGTTAGACTGACTTTCTCCCCACCATGTCCCAGTTAACATTCGATATCTGCCATCATCTTGAGATAAGGCCTCTCTGGAGTTGAGGCATCTATAGAGTACTTTTCTTTTAACAAGAAATAAATTACAATTAACTTTCAGGCCTGGCCTCATGGGGAAAAATAACAACAGTTTGTTTTAAGTTAAGCTATTACTCACAGTCCAAAGGTCATTTTCAGCTCACAGTTCACAACACCAAACCATAACTAAAAATAAAACAAGATAACAAAAAGTCGGTGAAAGTTCTAACACATCTGAGATGTAACAGTTGGTACAGATGGGGATGTAGTGCAGATCCAGTGCTTCTTGTCCTATCTCCTCAATAAGCCTTGGAGCTGATCCAGCCCAAGGAATACTCCAAAGAGTATATGTGGAAAACTGGACACTTAAAATGAGTCTGCTCTCAGCATCTACAGTCAATCCAGCTGTTGGGCACAGAGATTCCTTCCCCTGCAATGGTGGTCCCTTCTCAGTAGGCATTCATTTAGTTGGATATTCTACCAAGAACTAGACAGAGAGTGAATTTCCTTTAGGAAGAAGCTCTGTCTTATGTAGAGCAAGAGAGATTTATCCTGTGGTATACATGAGATTTGGCAACATTAACATGTTTCCTGAGAGTATCCTGCTGAGGTGTGTAAACTGATCGATGTCTCTCATCCCATTGGCTCTCCATTTTGCAGGGCCGGACATCCTTAATCATTGATACACTGAGCCCTTCTCACCTGTCCTCAATCCCATTTTTCATAACTTGAGGTTTATGTGACCCATGCGATATTCAAGTAGATATAAGAAAGTTGAGACTATCTATGGTAGTAGGGGTAGTAGGAACTGCAGATGCTGGAGAATCTGAGACAACAAGGTGCAGGGCTGGATGAACACAGCAGGCCAAGCAGCATCATAGGAGCAGAGAGGCGATAGGGGTTGTTAGAGTCAAATGTGCTAAGAATTGAAAGGCACGTCTAGTGACGAGTATGTGCAGCACGTTCTGAGACTGGCGGATAATGTCAACAATCTTTGACCTTACTCTACATACTCCGTATTCTTGTACGTAGAATACAAGACGTTGAGTAACAGGAAATCAAGCAGTTCTTTACCTGCCTGCACCATCACTGTTCTTGAAGGTTCAAGTCAAGTGTCCTCGACCGGTTAACATCAGGCCTCACTAAAGTGTCACATGTAGCAGAGCTCTCAATTGGAGCTGCCTCATCAAAGAGAGAGAGTAAGGGTGTCGGGTACCCATGTGGATTACCACTTGCAGTCACAAAGGTGTTCACCTCCAATTGTTCTTAAACTTGTTAATATCGTGGGTAGTGGACCAATTGAGAAAGACATTAGTGAGTTGGAGGACACTCACAGGAGATTGCTTGATTGTATTTTCACCAAGTGTGGGACAACTTGAAAAATGATGTGATTGCAAGTACTGTGACCTATTGAACCGTAGAATTATGATGATTGATGTCCATCCAATAAAAATTCCTTACCACTGGACACCACTCATTATGAGGACAGTGTTCAAAACTGCCTGCAGAAATCTTTGAAACAAGCTGTGATCTGAAAGTTATCAAGTCTTTACGTCTCCCTCATAGTCCTTATGAGGAAGAAAGACATAAAAAACTCATGATCTGTGTTCAGGCACTAAACACAAAGATTTATAAATATGCTTACCCCCTACATAGATTGAAAAAGCATTGCAGCTTCTCAAAGGTGCAAAGTAACCCTGCAGTCTCAGTTTTTGCTTCATTCAAAGTAATGGAAGCATCACTGGCTCGGCCAGCATTTATTGCCCATCCCAGTGAAAGTGAAGGAATGGTGACATGTTTCCAAGTCAGGATGGTGTGTGATTTGGAGGGGAATTTGCAAGTGGTGTTCATATGCATCTGCTATCCTTGTTCTTCGAGATGGTAAAGGTCATGAATTTGGAAGGTGAAATGGAAGAAATTTTGGTGGGTTATTGCAATGCTTTCTTGTAGAGGATGCACACTGTTCAATGATAGATGAGGTGCCAGTTGAGCAGGCTGCTTTGTCCTGCTTGGCATCAATACCCATCGAAACAAGAAGGGAGTATTCCATCACACTCCTGACATGCTTTGTAAATGGTGGACATGCTTTGGAGACTGAGGAGGTGAGTTACATTAAAATTCCTAATCTCTAAGCTGCTGTTATAGCCACAGTATTTACATGATTGACCCAGTGATAACCCCTAGAACGTTGAAAGTAGCATATTCAACAATGGTGATGCAGCTGAATGTTAAGTGATCATTGAATTTTTTCTTGTTAGAGATGATCATTTCCTGATACTTGTGTGGCACAAATGTTACATAACATTTATCAGCAGAAACCTGCTTATTGTCCAGATCTTATTGCATATGGACACAAACTATTTCAGTATCTGAGGAGTTGTGAGTAAACATCCCACTTCTGACCTTATGATGGAGGGAAGGTCATTCATGAAACAGCTGAAGATTGTCTTGCCTACCCTGAGGAACCCCTGCAGGGATGTCCTGGAGCTGAGATAACTGACCTTCAACAACCACAGACAGCTACCCTTCACTGAGCAAGTGGGACACCCAACATCATAAATGACTACTGTGTTGGTCAGAGAACATTGGTACTGGCCCAGAATGGCAATGAAACTGATGACTACAGACAGATTTATGAGCAGTGTACTTTGGAAAGGGCATAAAAGTCATTTCACCTGACATGGGACCCTTGGATGCCAAGAGATCTCTGGAGATCTTTACAATAGATATTAGAGTCCCTGACTCCAGCAGTTTTGGGACAAAACACATTCTTGTGCTCACTGATGTCTTCACCACATTCATGAAGGTCATTCCCACCTGTGAGAAAAAGGTCTCAGTGATAGCCAGAGTGTTACTATGTGTTTTGTTTGTCCATTTTATTCATCTTAGTGGCATTCATAGCGATCGGGCGTAACTTCAAGTGCAAGAATCATACAGGAGCTCTGAAAGTGCTTTAGCAATGTCAGCAGCCAACTGTACCTTCCAAAACCATTTGTGCATCTTTTGATGCTCAGACCAAACAAAAGGGGGCCTGTGTACCTACTGTGTTTAATGAATGTAGTTGCCGTGAGATCCTGTTTTTATGTTATAGACTTAAAACACAGAGATTATTTGGAATAGAGCAGTGGAAGTTAAAAGATTTAATAGTGGCTTTTGGTTTTGATCAGGTTATAATGGAAGCACTATTTCTTGAATTTGGGGAGCAGTGGAGGATTTTAAATGGCTACTAAGGTAGATACAAGACAATTTTGTCTACAATTATTGCAATATAGAATGTCTTTACAATATAGAATACCTTTCTATGTGGGGCAGTTGAGGTAAACATCCTTGCTATTTTCAAAAGTAAATAAGTGACACTCCTGATTCAATGGCTAGGAGGTCAGAGGGTTGTTTCAGATTTTTCTAGAAAGTGTATGGTAGAGCCACAATCAGTTAAAATGACTCCTTCTATCCTGTAAAATGTATCAACACTTGAAAACACGTAGTGAAGTATTTTGCTTAAGAACTGGACTGAAAAATAGTACAGATATTACTGTGATGTCATCTTATTAGTGTAGTAGTTGCATACATGCATGTTTGTATGCATGGTACATGTAAATAAAACATCTGGTACAGTCAGGATATTGCTCTGTTGAGGATGAAACACAATGTTTGAGTGGATTAAGCAGAGTTTCAATCAGTATCAGCTAAAAATATTAAGCAATGGTAAAAGTGTGTTGAGTGGCATTTTTGACTTTAAAGAAATACCTTGGTAACCCTGCTTGGTGTATTTTCAGATCAGTGTTGTTTTAAAAGATGAGAATTAACATTGCATTTCTAAATGGTAAATCAATAATATGTTGCTGAGCGCAATGCAGGCAGCATATTTTCTACTTCAGTTACATTTAAAATTCTATAACTCAGAGTATTTTGAAATGTTTTACCAGTCAATGTTTTTTTTTTCTCGTTCATAGATATTGCATACTCTACCTGATCCAAATGTTCCTCTTCCTCAACCCGAGCAGAGATCGGGGTCTAGGCGAAGCAAGGCAACTTGCCTGTCAACAGGCCCAAGAAGACCCAAAGCCATCTACAGCCCAACATTGTGTCTGGCTGACGCAGACAGTAAGCATAACATATCGATTAAACATTTTTGCTGATCTTTAAAAGTTTATGTTAAAGCTGGCCCGATGTGGGTTGTGTTGGCAAAACATGTAAACAAAAACTCAAAACGTTCCTTAATATCTACACTTGGAGGATGCGTTTGATGAGGTTCCTGTTTGTTATAGTAATCACTAATCTATCAGTTTTGTTTACCAGGAAGATGATTTCCTCCTATTAGATACATGCTTCATGCTTCACGCTTCACATACACCTTTCAAACTAATGATTGGAAATGAGTGCCTAGGATTGACAGGGATTTTCACAGGATATGGGCATCACTGGCAATGCCAGCATTTATTGCCCATCCCTAATGGGGATGGGGGTGGTGTGCTGCCTCTTGAACTGCTGCATTCCACATGGCACAAGTCAACCCACAGTGCATAATAGGAGAGAGTTCCAGGACTTTGAGCCAGTGAGAATGAAGGAATGGTGGTATAGTTCCAAAATGGTATGTGGCTTGTAGGGGAACTTGCAGTTTGTAGTATCCCATGTTTCTTCTGCTATTGTAGATTTTTTCCTCTTGTTGATTCAGTCATCATCTGCCACCTATGTCCCCTCTAAGCCATGCAGGAGTCACTGTGAGTCACTACCACATACAAACTTTGGAGGCTGTGTAGCCAGAAATAAAATTAGAGGGAACGCTGCCTGCTGTAGGCCCAGTTTTACAGCTCTGTCCTTTAGGACTGAACCAGCTCAGGCAGGATATACATGCCTTGGAGACATAGAGTAAAAGATCATTAGATTGGGAATAATCCTGGAATTAGACACTTTTATGTCCTATGATGAGAGGCTGAATAAATCAGGCCTATAATTTTGGGGTTTAGGAGAATGAGAATAAAAGAGTTCATTTTCTGAAAAATTTCTCGGGTTGACACTGAGAGGTTTTTTTCCTTTGACTGGCAAATATAGAATGTAGACAAAGGATAGAGGACTGATCATAAGATCGGGAGCAAGTCGAAGGGTTATGTATCTTCAAAATTCTCTATGCCAGAAGGTCATGGATCCTTCATTCCTGAAAATATTTATTGCTAAGCTGGACAAATCTTTGGTGTCTGAGGAAATCAAGGGAAGCAGGCAGAAAGATGGAGTTGAGGTCAGTGATCAATCATGATCTTATTGAATGGTGTAGTAGGCTTGATAACTCATACAGTTCTACTCCTATGTCTTATATTCTTATGGAAATATCCAGCTTTCCACTTTTGATAGTTTACTTTGTTCAGGTCCGGTGACCCTTCCTCAGAATATTTCTGACGAAGGGTCACCGGACCCAAAAAATTAACTATTATTTCTCTTCACAGATGCTGCCAGACCTGCTGAGCTTTTCCAGCGACTTCTGTTTTTGTTTCTGATTTACAGCATCTGCAGTTCTTTCGGTTTTTACTTTGATAGTTTGCTATTTTGACATGGCTGTTTTACTTTACCAATTGACTACTTTCTACAGTGGTTCCATGGAAAAAAAGAATGGTATTCCTGAAATACTGTGAATAGATTTACATTTACTGTTGTATTGATGCAAATCAAAATATTACACAGTGGAAGTGTTAACTTTGTCAAAAATATTCAAGTAAAGTTAAAAGTGATATGTCCTCTTCACTATGTTGATAAATAAATTTTAAGTCTTAAGGGGATTATTTTCAATTCTCAACAATAAAAATATGTCAAACTTCCGAAAACTTGGATTGAGGTTTTTATGCCTTAAGCTTCATATTTGATCATATACTTGTCCAAAGTCATATATCACAGTAAAATTATCTTTTTCAGTTTCTGGGATGAGATATGCCATACTGTACATACTCCAATATTGGTTGTTCCTTTTTTCAGGTGATGCTTCCAGCAGCAGCCCAGACAGTACACCGATGGGAAGCATAGAGTCTCTATCGTCTCATTCCTCAGAGATAAACAGTTCCTCGAAAACCGGCTCTTCTCAGCGTCATTTGCAAAGGGAGATAGGAGATAGTGGAATACCATGGGTGTCAGCACCTGCCTCACTGCCTGGACAAAAGGGCACAATTGTCTGGACCACTAGCCCAGAATCAAGCTCCAGTGAAGATACTGTTAAAACAGATGGTCAGGCAGATTCTCAGAGTTTGTTGTCTGTTACTAATGTAGGAAATACATCTCAGACATTAAACCTATGCAGTGAGGGATCCTATAAATACACTGGACTTAAAAGATCAATAACAACTTCTCTAACATCTCTCCCTACAACCGATGGTATGTTGATAGGTAGTCTTTTTTATGGTTAAAAATGTTAATTATAAAGTTTTAAAAAGGAGTTTAAGGCTTTGATTATTTTTTCCAGGTACTAATACTAGAACTTTCAGCAGTTCTGTTCAGAATCTTTCTTCAATGGATTTCAAAGATACACCCAAAACTGCATCTAATCCAGCACTTCCTCCAAAAGTGACTATTAGACGAAGACTAGACACATCAACAAGCAATGGCTATCAGAAACCTGGATCAGTGTAAGTACTACTTCTGTGAAAGATTCTATACCATAGCAGTTAACTTGTCTAGTGTAAAGAATCAATAATGCTACACATTTGGCCATGAGCTTGGGCTCCATCATCCCAGCCAATACATGATGGGCATGCACAGCATGGCAAGGTCATGAGCTCAGCTATGCCATCCCTGCTCCAGAATCATCAGGAGTGCCCAGAACATCATTTTACAGGCTGCATTCAGACTTGGGCTGTTCAGCTTCACTATCTCTTCAATGACAATTGTCCAAGGTGCTCTGCCCTCCACCATTTACGTTGCCAATAGTTATAAGGACAGGCATTAAAATAGCAGACATGGTGCTTTAGATGCAATTCTGCTATGGCAAAGTTTGTGAAAGTACTGTGATCATTTCTGAGGGTATTTCTTGAATTTGCTAGTTCGATATGTCTGGGACTGTAGAGGATTTGGCTATTTGTCTACACTAAGTCTGCAATGGGGGGTATCTGAGTTCTAGTTGCTGTGCCTCGGAGTCTGTATGTTGATGGGCTGCAAAGTGGGTAAGCTTGATATAGACCAAGGAGGAGGAGGCCACTTCACAAAAGGCCCAGGATGTCACCCATCACTGCTTCACAGAGCTGAAGGAGAACCCCTATATACAAGAAAAAAATCCATAATTTCTCTCTAAGCAAAAAGAATAGTAATATGCATTTACCAGGATAGTGAGATTCCCACAATGCGGGGACCAGTGTGGATTTATGGATGAGCACAATAATGAAGAGGATCTGCAAGGGCTTCCACTCCATTATTGTGCAGTTGCTGTGTGACTGAGCACATAGTATCATGTTACTGAATGGCAGCGGTCCCAGTGCTTCCATCCTGAGAGAGACTGTTGTTCCCCTGTTTTTGGGCCACCAGGAAGATCAAGTCGCTGGCTGCTTAGAGCTGAGGGATATAATTTTTACATGTGGCTGACCACCCCGACCAACCACTTTGCCACCTGCTGTCACAAGAAGAACTGCTGTACAATGAGAACCAAGCTGCCACCACATTGCGGGAGGTGTTGTAGTGGTGGAAATGTAATCCAGAGGCCTATGCTCATGCTCTGAGGATGCAGGTTCAAACCCCACCATGGCTGCTAGTGAAATTTGGATTCAGTTGATTAATCTGGAATACATTCATTGTCTCATTTACTATTAAACTGTTATCAATTATTTAAAAAGAAAACACCTTGTTCACTATTGTTCTTTAGGAAAGAGAGTCTGCATTCCTTACTTGATTCAGCCTATACGCGACTCCAAACCGACAGCAATGTGTTTAACTCTCAACTGCCCTCTGCAATGACCCTAGCAGGCTACTTAGTTCAAAAGCAATTCAGAATGGGCAACAAATGCCTGATTTTTAGCAATACCATTATCCCAAAAATGAATGAAGAAAAATTATATATAATGGGTAGCTACATGGTGTATTTAAACAGTTTTGATATTTAGACCTCAGGTGAGCTCTACACTACTCTCTAGAATGTGTATCAAAGTTTGTGCTGGGCTGATGTGTTTTTCACAACACTATCATCGTGGGAGTGTGGCCATTGCCAATAGGCGTTGGGAGGTCACAGTAGGAGGAAGAGGAAAAGGCAAGGAGGAAGTACAAGGGACTCCTTTGTTCCAGGATGGCTGTGCCAAAGTGCCTCAAACTTCACCACCACTTATCCACCTCCCCATCCATCCGGGGCACACCTCATTAGATCATCCAAGATTCTTCAGTAAAAATCACCAACACAAATCTTTCCACAACATCTTGATCCAGTGATGTATTAATTATACAGATTTAAATAAAGGATTCACCAACATGCATTCCCTTAGTGTCAGTGCTGCAGAGGCTGTTGTCTGACCGAGTACCCTGAGTAGTGCTACCCAGTCAGCTGGAACATGGCTAGTGGGAGCTGCTGACTCTCATGTGGTCTACTGCAGATTGCCTCGTGGTTCTTGTTGAGAATTCTGGGTCTTGTGGACCCAGCTGAGAGCTGTACCTCATCAGCATGAGCAGTAAGCAGTTTTTGCTGACTGACTGAGAGGCACTAGCAAGTTTACAGTGTGGATTGCAGTGCTGAGAGCTCAAATGCTGCCATGCTGAGAGATGATTTGTGCTTCAGGGGGCCATGACCACTTTCGTTAGATATGTCTGACCACTCCTAATAATCTGTTAGAACAATGTTGCAGGACTGCTCTGAAAAGCTTGTCTCTTTGAGCATTGAGATGAACTGCTGGAGTAGCAGCAATTTAAACCTACACTGATCTTGGAACCTCCATTTGAACTTCCACTACAACATGCCAGCACATCCCTGCTTAGATATAGAGACCAAAACTGCTCACAATATTCAAAATACCATCATATACCACCATCCTTCGTGTTCTCAGTAGTGATGGATGCAGTGAGCATGAACAGTTGATCTCATAATGTGGAGTGAAATGTAAGCATTCCAGAAGTGCCTGCCACCTAATGGTTCTGCGCTGTTCTCTTCTGAGAGAGAGAGAGAGAGGGGGGAATCCCAGTGTTGTAATGTATTTGTTAGTGTTGTTGTCATGGCAAAAAAATTGAAGTTTGTGAGAAATGGGTGTGAGTCTTGCATAATTAGAAGGTGCATGAGGTTGAGGTGGAACATCTGAATGTTCAGTCTCAGTCTTGACATCCAGTTAACATCTGGATGTGTGTAGCAGTAGATGAACATTTTGCAGTGTGAGAGATTGGAGCTGCAGTGGTTATGTATGGTTATTTTTGAATGCATTAGTTATTGGACAGTGCCATACTGCTGCCAGATCTTGGGCACCTCACTACAGGCATTGACCTCCCTGACCACGTGCTCACATTCCCATCGGAAGATGTTCTTTGAAGGTCTCCTTGCCTTCCCTCAAAAACATAGCCTCTCACTTCCTGTTGACCTCTGTCACTCAAGCATCTGCTCCTGTGAGGCAGGGAGTCTTCCCTGGTTCTCCATTCAACGATATATATTATTGATATAAAAGCTGTGTAACGGAATAAAATAGAACAGTTTAATGCTGGGCCCATATTCTAGTTTTAGTGAAATACTATTCAGTAAAACACAATTGCTTGTAATTTAAAAAAATACATAGTGTGTAACCTAGCACCTCCAAAAAAATGGTTCAAACAATAAACATCAACTAATAGTGTAATAGCCAAATAGCATGTTTTGTGATAGGTACTGCATCTTGACCACAGAAACTCAGAAGTTATGAATTATGGATCAAATTAGTTTAAAGCTTATGAAAGTGGGAAGTGTGAAGCCAATTCTTGATTCTCCCACCCTGTCTGTCACTGAGAAATTCCAGCTTTTGGGTAATCTCTTTAGCCAACTTGCCTAATAGCAGAGAAACTGCTTTACCTCCAGAACTGAAAGGTGAACTCATTGAAACACATCAAATTCTTAAGGGACTTAAATGCTGAGAGAATGTCACCCCTCATGGGAGAGTATAGGACTAAAGGGCATAGTCTCAGAATAAAGGAACAGCAATTTAAGACAGCGATGGAGAATAGAATAGAATAGAAATTTATTATTGCTTGTACTTTTACATGAAAAATACAGTGAAAAGTTCTTCTATCAGAGGGTTGTGAGTCTTTGGAACTCTTTGCCATAGAGAGCTGTGGGAACAGAATCCTTGTGTGTATTTAAAATTGAGATGAAGAGATTCTTGATCAGCAGGAGAATCAAGGTTTACACATAAAGGGCAGGAAAATAGAAGTGATCAGCCATGATCCAATTGAATGACAGAGCAGGTTTGAGGGACCCAATGACTCCTCCTGTTCCTGTTTCTTATTGTCTTAAATAGACTAAGTGCACACATTGAAGTGAATAAGTATTATATGATAAGCATTACAGAGATCTGGCTGCAGAATGACAAGGATTGAGTATGGGCTGTGTGACATTTAAAAAGACCAGGAAGCTGGGTAAAGGTGGAGAGATAGTACTCCCAACCAAACATGGTACAGTTGTTAAAGATTGCCTTGGTTCAGGAAATCAGGATGTAGAATCGATCTGGGTGGAGTAGAGGAATAGTATGGAAAAGAATTCACTCATGGGAGTGATTTACAGGCTTCTCAACAGTGACCACGATTCTGGGAAAAGTATCTAAGAAGAAATGTTGGGTACTTGTGACGAACATGATGTGAAGGTGCCAGTGTAGGACTGGGGTGGACAAGGTCAGAACTCACACAATATCAGGTTATAGTCCACCAGGTTTATTTGAAAACACAGGCTTTCTCAGCCTCGCTCCTTCTTCAGGTGTTACTGAGAGAGGTAGTGACCCTTTCATCTTTTACTTATTAATTCTGTTTCTGATACTACCTCTCTCAATAACACCTAAAGAAGGAGTGAGACTCTGAAAGCTTATGCTTTCAAATAAACCTGTTGGACTATAAACTTGTGATGAAGGAATGGCAATAATTATGTGTGATTTTAATTTACATATAAACTGGAAAAACCAGATGGATAATAGTAGCCTCAGTGAGGAGTTCACAGAATGTTTCAAGATAGTTGCAGCACATTCTGCAACAGACCAAAGAGTAGGCCATATTAGACTTGGTATTGTGAAATGTGATAGGATTTATTAATTACCTTGGAGTAAAGGTTCCTCGAAGTAACAGTTAAAATAGCATGATTGAATTTAAATCCAGCTTGAAAGGGAAAACAGTGGGTCTAAGACGAGTGCATTAAACTTAAAATGGGCAACTACGGGGTGGCAGCACTGCTGCCTCACAGGCCAGGGACCCAGGTTTGATTCCACCCTCGGGCGACTGTCTGTGTGGAGTTTGCATGTTCTCCCCATGTCTGCATGGGTTTCCTCGGAGTGCTCCGGTTTCATCCCACAGTCCAAAGATGTGCAGGCTAGGTGGATTGGCCATGCTAAATTGTCCATAGTGTTCAGGGATGTTTAGGTTAGGTGGGTTAGACATGGGAAATGCAGGGGTAGGGGAATGGGTCTGGGTGGGATGCTCTTTGGAGGGGTGGTATGGACTTGTTGGGCCAAATGGCCTGTTTCCACATTGTAGGGATTCTATGATTCTATCTTGGCATTAAAGTTAACTGAAGTGACCTGCGATATTAGGCGAGGAGTAGCAGGCATTTCAAGAGAGAGTTCAGAATACTCAGAATAGGTTGTAAAAGTGAGGCTGAAGCATTCCCAACAATCTTTGGCCAAAAGTGCCAAGCAGAATACCCATCTCAGTCTTCTTCAGAGGTCCCAGCAGTACAGATGCCTGCTTTCAGCCAATTCTAATCACTAAGTGTTACCAAGAAGTGGTTGGAGGTGTTGGACACTGCAAAGGCTGTGGGTCCTGACAACATTCCATCAATAATACTGAAAATTTTGCTCGAGAAGTAGCTGTATCTCTAGCCAAGCTGTTCCAGTACAGCTACAACACTGCCAACGTGTAAAATTACCCAGGTATGTCCTGTATACAAAAACGTTTGTCAAATCCAACCCAGCCTAGCGGCTTTGTTTACAAAAGCAAGGACGCGATGCTAAATATTATAAAGCATTGGATAGTTCCCAACTAGATTGTTGCTTTCAGTCTGATCACCACATTTTCACAGATGTGAAGGCCCTTTCCAGGTTACAGTCCAAGATTATCAGAATGGACCCAATGATGAGTTTTAGTTACAAGGTTAAGTTAGAGAGGCTGGAGGAAAAGGAGATTGGTGGGGTTAGGTTTGATCAAGGTGCATGAGATTAATACAAGTTTAGGTAAGGTAGACAAGGGAAAGCTCTTTTGATGAGTGGATAAAGAACAAAGAACAAAGAAAATTACAGCACTGGAACAGGCCCTTCAGCCCTCCAAGGTTGCACCGATCCAGATCTTCCATCTAAACCTGTCACCTATTTTCCAAGGATCTGTATCCCTCTGCTCCCTGCCCATTCATGTACCTGTCTAAACATCTTAAATGACGCTATCGTGCCTGCCTCTACCACTTCCATTGGCAATGCGTTCCAGGCACCCACCACCCTCTGCATAAAGAACTTTCCACGCGTATCTTCCTTAAACTTTTCCCCTCTCACCTTGAAATTGTGACCCCTAGTAATTGAGTCCCCCACTGTGGGAAAAAGTTTCTTGCTATCCACCCTGTCTATACCTCTCATGATTTTGTAGACCTCAATCAGGTTCCCCCTCAACCTACATCATTCTAATGTAAATAATCTTAATCTACTCAACTTCTCTTCATAGCTAGCGCCCTCCATACCAGGCAACATCCTGGTGAACCTCCACTGCATCCTCTCCAAAGCATCCACATCCTTTTGGTAATGTGGCGACTAGAACTGTATGCAGTATTCCAAATGTGGTCAAAACAAAGTCCTATACAACTGTAGCATGACCTGCCAACTCTTGTACTCAATACCCCGTCCGATGAATGAAAGCATGCCGTATGCCTTCTTGACCACTCTATTGACCTGCGTTGCCACCTTCAGGGTACAATGGACCTGAACACCTAGATCTCTCTGTGCACCAATTTTCCCCAGGGCTTTTCCATTTACCGTATAGTTCGCTCTTGAATTGGATCTTCCAAAATGCATCACCTCGCATTTGCCTGGATTGAACTCCATCTGCCATTTCCCCGCCCAACTCTCCAATCTGTCTATATTCTGCTGCATTCTCGGACAGTTCCCTTCACTATCTGCTACTCCACCAATCTTATTGTAGATTGTAGAAGAATTACAGGGCACGGGTTTACAACTGTAGGCAAGAGGTGCTGGGAGAAAATGAAGCAAGTGTATGGTAAGTTTAATTTTTCCAGAAGCATGTAATTCATTGGGAAAAAAAGAAAAAGCGGGTGGAGGAAACAGAAACGTCAGAAATTTCTGAAGGAAATTAGATTGGCACTTAGAAAAGAAATAAATTTCGGGCCAAATTGGGGATTTGATGGAAGATTGGGAATGGCTGGATTGCTCTGCCAGGAGCTGGCATGGATTTGACAAACCTGTTAGTATCATTTTAGTGCTGTAAATGATCTTATGACTAAGAGCATTTAGTGTGTCAAATAGCTCTTTTTACCACTTAGTTGTAGTACAATATTCACATACTTGTAATCTGCTGTGAATATCCTACTCTTGGTCTGACTCATAATTATAATGAAGATCATTTTCCCGAAAGAGTCTTTCTCTTTTAGCTGCAGCAATTGTTCTTGGCATTCTGTCACTCTCTATCAAGTTCCTGCTCTAAAATTTTCATCTTCCCCGCAACTGTGTGCCATCTATCACTTTCCTGTACTAAATAATAAAATGTAGTGTCTCAGAAAATACCATGTGGTAGTTGAGGTCCCATAGAAAGACCATGTTATAACTGAACCGCAGATTGATGGTCTCATGCAGGATCAAAAAACAGTAAGGGAAGTTACGGCTGGAGGAACTGTCAGGGGCTGAGAAGGGCCTCAGGTTGAGGGGGGCAGAAGATGGAGCCAGGAGCCATGAGAACCCTGCACTAAATGCAGATTTTCATTATATTGAAAGCCATTATATCAGACACTGTAGCTTGAATTAAACCCATAAAATATGAGGATGATAAACAAGGGAAATATGAAAAAAAGATTGGAGAACAGTAATCTAAATTTGTCATATGCTTTGTGGAATATACAGTTCCAGGTTGGGCAAAGGAATTTCTGAGCTTTGATGTCAGTGGTGTAAGAATGTAGGAGGGGTCACAGAATCCCATGCTCGGAGACCAACGAGGGCCGCTTAATGAGGATGGTTTGGTGGTAACTCCCCAATGTCATGCTCCTTGGTTCAAGGTATCATCCCACCTTTATTCTGAAGGAAAATATTAACTCAAAATATTAACTCTTTTTCTCTCTCCACAGAAGTTGTCCATTGTTTCTGCAGATTTTCTATTGATCTCCCAATAAATTTGGTTGCGATCAGCCCAAGGACCTTGGACAAGTTTGTCAGGACAGACTGACATTTACTTGTATATATCAACGTATTTATTAGAAAAACACTTTACTAACTTAGCACAAGTTGATTGCCTGTATTCCCTTTTATTAAAAAAGGAAAGTAACCATATGCTGAGGAACAAATTACCATTCTATATTTCACCTCATGTATCTCATGGATGTGTATGCTATGAAATGACAGCTGTCACAACGAAGTGACTGGCAAAAAGCATTCACTTGGCTCTTCATGAACTGACAAAATTAGTTAAAAATAAGGACATCTTCCAATGCCAGCTGAATAAATACTTGTTGAAAATAAATGAAGAAAAACTATCATGAGCCACAGAGAATAAAAGCTTTCAACAAAATACTGTATAATTCCATACCATTGCAGAATGATCTTGTGTTAATAGCATATTTTCATCCCTTCTAAACTACCCCAGTGTGGCTTCAAAATACTACTGAACAATTATTTCAGTTTGAACTTCATATTAGTGTAAAGGAATCACATGGTGAAGGGCTGAAATGGAATGGGCTGACTGGTGGAGCAAGGGTTGAGAGGAAAAGAATAAGACAGAAATTAGCAGATATCATGCCAAGTGAAAATGCAAAGAGATCTTGTAGTGTGCAGTCGCAGAATTACATAAAATATGTTGCAACCTTCATATATCAAGGGATCTGTCTGCTTTTTTGTAGTTTACATGGAAGTAAATGCATCAAAACTGTATAAAGAGTGTGAACTTTGATGAAATCAAAAGCCCATTCCCTACAATTTCTTGACATGTTGAATTATTTTCTCCACCTCCAGAGTTGCATCCAGAGCTCAGTTGTTTGAAAATATTGGTACTGCTAAACCAAATTCATCCAAATGGTAAATGAACAACTTTATATGTTCCAAGTCCTTATTTCTATCACATTTTTAACATTTGTACTTTGTTCCAGAGTTTTCAGATATAGCGCCACTTACTTTGAGTCTTTTGAATAACTAAGTATCCTAATAATTAGCCATTAACTGATTCTTAGGTTAAATCTCAGTTAATTACTGATGCCTAGGCAAACGACAAGCAAGTTTGATCACATATTTCATTCTTCACCCTCGCTGAGAACTAAGAGCATATTTTGCTAAAAGCATAAGTTGACATGTAACCAACTGGAGAAAAAATGTAACTAATTACTACACAATGGTGGACATACCAAATATTATTAGAGCAAAAACCTGAAATACTGAGATAAAATTTTAATTTGAAGCTCAGCTTTGCTCGCAGCTTGCTTTTCTGGCCAATTCACAATTAAAGTTCTCCTTATGTTCATAACTCAGTAATATTCAATTTGATGTTTGTTACTGAAGAAATCAAAACTGTATTTAAATTTATGCAAATCATAGCATATAATGTGTTACCGCCTAGGTTAGAGGCATGCACTGTTTCCTTTTCTCATCCCACTTCTCCACTGGTTATAAATTTTAAATGTAATGACTCTAACAATATGGCTAATTATGTGCACCTCAAACTGTCAGGTTCAATATTAAGCATAAGTCAGCCTGGTTTTTTTAAGTCAGTAATAATTAACTGGTTAATTGCCAAAGATGCAAAAATTATTGACAAACAGTTTAGATTATGCAAATACATATGTTTTTATGTACGCTTTGATTAATTAAATAAACACTTCTGTAAAATTGACTGTTTTCAGAAAGAAAAATGTAATTCTCCCATGACCTCATGACTAACGGTGTTTATGAAACATGCCATTCCTTTTCAGTGGAGTTTCAGTTTGAAGGCTATCTTTGATTATTCATCTAACCAAAGTTGCACAAACAGTTGGTGCATATTATGAAGCAGAAGACAAATAAAAATCCACTGAGATAGGAACCAGGCCATATTTGCAGTTACCATATTGACATTTCAATAACTAAGCTTTTTCTTAAAAATTGTGATAGTACGGCAGGAAGCAGTTTCACTTTTTTAAAAAAAGCACCATTGACTGTTCAGGAAGATTAAAAATATTTATATTTTAGGTTGTGTTCTATGTCTCATAGATATCATGTTAAAATGTAATATTAGGTATTTTTCTATTTATTAGTAATGCACTGCATGTGTTTTATGATTGATATTTTTCTTTGAAACAGCCAAGCCAAAGCTATGTATGCTTGTAAAGCTGAGCACAGCCACGAACTTTCTTTCCCACAGGGAGCAATGTTCACTAATGGTGAGTTCTAAGCACATGTCTATTAGAGATCTGGTAAATTCCAAATCTAAGTTTGCAGTTCAAGTGCTGTATAATTAACTGTTTGTGCAAGTTTCTTCCTAGCTGTTGGCTCTATTTGGAAGGCACAGGTTTTTTTTTTCCAAATGCATTTCATGCATTTTGATTTAGGAATGATTTTGTATTGATTTAGAATTTGTATACAATTAAGGGTTTGCATAATCTGATCAGAAATGGTGCTGGAAATTGAATTGAAATTCCATCTTAATAAATAATCTTGATCAAGTGAACTGTGTGATACACAAGATCTTGGTCTGGGCCAGTATCTTTTACTGGGACTCAGTTTTCTCTGTTACTCAGTATGTAAATAGTCCAACTCGGGAAGAGGCCACAGTGGACCTGGTGATGGGGAATGAGCCCGGCCAGGTGGTTGAAGTTTCAGTAGGGGATTACTTTGGGAATAGTGATCACAATTCCGTAAGTTTTACAATACTCATGGACAAAGACGAGAGTGGTCCTAAAGGGAGAGTGCTGAATTGGGGGAAGGCCAACTATAGCAAAATTCGGCAGGTGCTGGCAAATGTGGATTGGGAGCAGCTGTTTGAGGGTAAATCCACATTTGATATGTGGGAGGCTTTTAAAGAGAGCTTGATCAGAGTGCAGGACAGATATGTCCCTGTGAAAATGAGGGATAGAAAGGGCAAGATTAGGGAACCATGGATGACAGGTGAAATTTTGAGACTAGCAAAGAGGAAAAAGGAAGCATACATAAGGTCTAGGCAACTGAAAACAGACGAAGCTTTGGAAGAATATTGGGAAAGAAGGACCAATCTGAAATGAGGAATTAAGAGGGGTAAAAGGAGTCATGAAATATCTTTAGCAAACAGGGTTAAGGAAAATCCCAAAGCCTTTTATTCATACATAAGGAGCAAGAGGGTAACTGGAGAAAGTGTTGGCCCACTCAAGGACAAAGGAGGGAAGTTATGCAAGGAGTCAGAGAAAATGAGTGAGATTCTTAATGAGTACTTTGCATCGGTATTCACTGAGGAGAGGGACATGACGGATGTTGAGGTTAGGGACAGATGTTTGATTACTCTAGGTCAAGTCAGCATAAGGAGGGGGGAAGTGTTGGGTATTTTAAAAGGCATTAGGGTGGACAAGTCCTCAGGTCCGGATGGGATCTATCCCAGGTTACTGAGGGAAGCGAGAGAGGAAACAGCTGGGGCCTTAACAGATATCTTTGCAGCACCCTTGAGCACAGGTGAGGTCCCGGAGGACTGGAGAATTGCTAATGTTGTACCCTTGTTTAAGAAGGGTAGCAAGGCTAATCCAGGAAATTATAGACCAGTGCGCCTGACGTCAGTGGTGGGGAAGCTGCTGGAGAAGATACTGAGGGATAGGATCTATTTACATTTGGAAGAAAATGGGCTTATTAGTGATAGGCAGCATGGTTTTGTGCAGGGAAGGTCATGTCTGACCAACCTTGATAGAATTCTTTCAGGAAGTGACAAAGTTAATAGATGAGGGAAGGGCTGTAGATGTCATATACGTGGACTTCAGAAAGGTGCTTGATAAGGTTCCCCGTGGTAGGCTGATGGAGAAAGTGAAGTCGCATGGGGTCCAGGGTATACTAGCTAGATGGATAGAGAACTGGTTAGGCAACAGGAGACAGAGAGTTGTAGTGGAAGGGAGTTTCTCAAAATGGAGAACTCTGACTAGTGGTGTTCCACAGGGGTCCGTGTTGGGACCACTGTTGTTTGTGATATACATAAATGAGGAAGGTATAGATGATCTGATTAGCAAGTTTGCAGATGACACTAAGATTGGTGGAGTAGCAGATAGTGAAGGGGACTGTCGAAGAATGCAGCAGAGTATAGATAGATTGGAGAGTTGGGTGGAGAAATGGCAGATGGAGTTCAATCCAGCTAAATGCGAGGTGATGCATTTAGAAGATCCAATTCAAGAGCGAACTATACAGTAATTGGAAAAGCCCTGGGGAAAATTGATGTACAGAGAGATCTGGGTGTTCAGGTCCATTGTACCCTGAAAGTGGCAACGCAGGTCGATAGAGTGGTCAAGAAGGCATACAGCATGCTTTCATTCATTGGACGGGGTATTGAGTGCAAGAGCTGGCAGGTCATGCTACAGTTGTATAGGACTTTGGTTTGACCACATTTGGAATACTGCGTACAGTTCTGGTCGCCACATTACCAAAAGGATGTGGATGCTTTGGAGAGGATGCAGAGGAGGTTCACCAGGATGTTGCCTGGTATGGAGGGCGCTAGCTATGAAGAGAAGTTGAGTAGATTAAGATTATTTACATTAGAACGATGTAGGTTGAGGGGGAACCTGATTGAGGTCTACAAAATCATGAGAGGTATAGGCAGGGTGGATAGCAAGAAGCTTTTTCCCAGAGTGGGATCTCAATTACTAGGGGTCACGATTTCAAGGTGTGAGGGGAAAAGTTTAAGGGAGATATGCATGGAAAGTTCTTTATGCAGAGGGTAGTGGGTGCCTGGAACGCGTTGCTAGCGGAGGTGGTAGAGGCAGGCATGATAATGTCATTTAAGATATATCGAGACAGATACATGAATGGGCAGGGAGCAGGGGGATACAGATCCTTGGAAGATAGGCAACAGGTTTAGATAGAGGATCTGGAACGGCGCAGGCTTGGAGGGCCGAAGGGCCTGTTCCTGTGCTGTAATTTTCTTTGTTATTTGTTCTTTGTACTTTGCACAATTACAACTTTTGGTTTCTTGTGTCTATTTGGTTAACCGAAGTTTTTTTTAAATGTTCTGAAAATGAACTACTTGTAACTGTTTCAGAGATAGTAGGAACTGCAGATGCTAGAGAATCTGAGATAACAAGGTGGAGAGCTGGATGAACACAGCAGGCCAAGCAGCATCAGAGGAGCAGGAAGGCTGACGTTTCGGGCCTAGACCCTTCATCAGAAATGGGGGAGGGGAAGGGGGTTCTGAAATAAATAGGGAGAGAGGGGGAGGCGGATAGAAGATGGATAGAGGAGAAGATAGGTGGAGAGGAGACAGACCGGTCAAAGAGGCGGGGATGGAGCCAGTAAAGGTGAGTGCAGGTGGGGAGGGAGGGAGGAGATAGGTCAGTCCAGGGAGGATGGACAAGTCAAGGGGCCGGGATGAGGTTAGCAGGTAGGAAATGGGGGTGCGGCTTGAGGTGGGAGGAGGGGCTAGGTGGGAGGAAGGACAGGTTAGGGAGGCGGGGACGAGCTGGGCTGGTTTTGGGATGCGGTAGGGGGAGGGGAGATTTTGAAGCTTGTGAAGTCCACATCGATACCATTGGGCTGCAGGGTTCCCAAGCGGAATATGAATTGCTGTTCCTGCAACCTTTGGGTGGCATCGCTGTGGCACCGCAGGAGGCCCAGGATGGACATGTCGTCTGAGGAATGGGAGGGGTAGTTGAAATGGTTCGCGACTGGGAGGTGCAGTTGTTTATTGCGAACCGAGCGTAGGTGTTCTGCAAAGCGGTACCCGAGCCTCCGCTTGGTTTCCCCGATGTAGAGGAGGCCACAACGGGTACAGCGGATGCAGTATACCACATTAGCAGATGTGCAGGTGAACATCTGCTTGATGTGGAAAGTCTTCTTGGGGTCTGGGATGGGGGTGAAGGAGGAGGTGTGGGCGCAGGTGTAGCACTTCCTGCGGTTGCAGGGAAAAGTGTCGAGTGTGATGGGGCTGGAGGGGAGTGTGGAGCGGACGAGGGAGTCACGGAGAGAGTGGTCCCTCCGGAAAGCAGATAAGGGTGGGGAGGGAAAAATGTCTTTGGTGGTGGGGTCGGATTGCAGATGGCGGAAGTGTCGGAGGATGATGTGTTGGATCCAGAGGTTGGTGGGGTGGTACGTGAGGACGAGGGGGATTCAGTTTTGGTTGTTATTGCAGGGACGGGGTGTGAGGGATGAGTTGCGGTAAATGCGGGAGACACGGTCGATGGCGTTCTCAACCACTGAGGGGGGGAGTAAATGTTTGCAAGCTTATCAACGTCTGGTGAAGATTTATAAATAAGTCTCCACCAAATGCTCGTTGCACATTCAGCACTAGTTACACCACCCCCCAAGGGTTCTAACTAGTGACTGATATTTACAATCTGTTTGTACTATGTTTCAGGAACAATAACAAAGTTGCTGGAAAAGTTCAGCAGATCTGGCAGTATCTGTGAAGGAAAAAACAGAGTTAACATTTCGGGTCCAGTGACCCTTCCTCAGAACCAGTTCTGAGGAAAGGTCACTGGACCTGAAACGTTAACTCTATTTTTTTCCTTCACAGATACTGCCAGACCTGCTGAGCTATTCCAGCAACTTTGTTTCTGTTCTTGTTTTACAGCATCCACTGTTCTTTCGCTTTTTATCTACTATGTTTTCCTTTTGTTATTCCAAATTTCCAAAGCATACACCCTGCTGTAAACTGTACACAACATCATGACCTAGTTATTCCAATTAATGTGATGCTGCATAGACTGAAAGTATGTCCAAGTTTAATTCCTCCAGCTGTAACACAGCCTTGTGTTACAATTCTGTACTGAAAGATGTCATCATCTCTAAGTTGGAATGGGGATCTAATACCAACTCTATTCAAAGCTTCAAAATACTTTTTATGGAATTGCTGTGTCAGATTTATTTGTTGATCAGAGAAGCCCCATCGCTCCGAAGCTGTCATAATCAATTGTTGCTGAGTGAATGTGGTCAGAGCCCCCAGTCGGTCTCACACTCAGACACTGCTAATAATTATAAATTGTAGTTGTTATCAGTGACCTGCCCTTGCTCCAGCTTCATCCTCTCACTATTGTGTAGACTTGTGTGGCACAAATATTTCCAGCCACTTGTTAGCCCAAGCCTAGATATTGTCCACATTGTGTCGTATATGCATAAGGATATTTTCAGTATGTAAGGAGTCAAGAATGATATAGAATAATGTTACATGTTGTGCAGTTCTCAGCAAACATTCCCATTTCTGACCTTATAACTGGGGGAATTATCATTGATGAAACAGCTGAAGTTTGTTGGACCTAGAACAATAATCTGAGGAATGTGAGGGGCTATTGTGCAGTGGTACTATCCCTACCACTGAACCAGAAGGCCCCAGTTCAAGTCCCACCTGCTCCAGATGTGTGTTTTTTTTTTAATTCACTCATGGGACACAGCTGGCCAGTTTTTATTGCCTGTTCCGAGTGGCCCTTGAGAAGGTGGTGGTGAGCTGCTTCCTTGAACTGCTTCAGTTCATGTGCTATAGGTTGACCTACAATGTCGTTAGGAAGGGAATTGCAGAATTTTGACCCGGCAACAGTGAAGGAACAGTGATAATAATTCCAAGTCAGGGTAGTAAGTGGATCGGAGGGGACCTTGCAGGTGGTGATGTTCCTATTTACCTGCTGCCCTTGTCCTTCTGGATGGAAGTGGGTTGTGGGTTTTGAAGGTGTTACCCAAAGATCTTCAGTAAAGTACAACAGTGCATCTTGTAGATAGTACTCACTGCTACTGTTGAGCGTCAGTGGTGGAGGGAGTGAATGCTTGTGGATGTGGTATCAATCAAGCAGGATGCTTTATCCTAGATAGCATCAAGCTTCTTGAATGGTGTCGGAGCTGCACCCATCCAGGCAAGTGGGGAGTATTCCATCACACTCCTGACTTGTGCCTTGTAGATGGTGGATAGGCTTTGAAACAAGTGTGGAGCTGGAGGACCACAGCAGGCCAGGCAGCACCCAAGGAGCAGGAAAGTCGACGTTTCGGGAAGAAAGGTCCCGACCCGAAACGCCAATATTCCTGCTCCTCTGATGCTGCCGGGCCTGCTGTTTTCCTCCAACTCCACACTGTGTTATCTCTGACCCCAGCATCTGCAGTTCTTACTATCTACGAGGCTTTGTAATAACACCTCTGAATAGGTTGATTTAAAAAAATAAGTCTTCCCTCCCTCTAGACCTCAAGGCCTGGGTTCAAGTCCCACTTGTTCCAGCTGTGTGTCATAATATCCAAATAGGTTGACATAAAAAAATTTTAAAATAATGTTTTTGTATTGAGATGATTGACATTCAATAACCACAACTATCCTCCTTTGTGCTTTGTATTGACACCAAGTTAAAAGCAGAGCCTTTCTTTTCAACGCTACGAACATCCGAGGGAAACTAGTAATAATTCAAGGACTGAAACTCAAAAAGGTTAATGTAAGGATGGAGACTGTACTAATGGCATTAAAGACTGGTGAAAAAATCTCCAATGCCTGATGGTTTTAGAGGAAGTTGGTGAAAAAACTGTTGATGCTTTCGCTATGTGTTGCCAAATTACCCTCTATTTAGAAATTTACCCACTTAGATTGAAAAAAGTACAAATGTAACACTATAATATAAGAAGTTATGAAAAAACCTAACAAATTATAGACCTGCAAGTAGAAGATGTGTTGTGCAAATTTATAATTAAGGATTCAGTAACTAGGAACGTAGAGAATTGTGAGCTGAGTAAATAAAGTCTGCCTGTACATTTGTTCATTCCACTGTTGTTTGTGATATACATAAATGGTCTGGAGGAAGGTATAGATGGTCTGATTAGCAAGGTTGCAGATGACACTAAGATTGGTGGAGTAGCAGATAGTGAAGGGGACTGTCGAAGAATGCAGCAGAATATAGATAGATTGGAGAGTTGGGTGGAGAAATGGCAGATGGAGTTCAATCCAGGCAAATGCGAGGTGATGCATTTTGGAAGATCCAATTCAAGAGCGAACTATACAGTAATTGGAAAAGCCCTGGGGAAAATTGATGCACAGAGAGATCTGGGTGTTCAGGTCCATTGTACCCTGAAGGTGGCAACGCAGGTCGATAGAGTGGTCAAGAAGGCATACGGCATGCTTTCATTCATTGGACGGGGTATTGAGTACAAGAGTTGGCAGGTCATGCTATAGTTGTATAGGACTTTGGTTCGACCACATTTGGAATACTGCGTACAGTTCTGGTCGCCACATTACCAAAAGGATGTAAATGCTTTGGAGACGGTGCAGAGGAGGTTCACCAGGACGTTGCCTGGTATGGAGGGCGCTAGCTATGAAGAGAGGTTGAGTAGATTAGGATTATTTACATTAGAAAGACGGAGGTTGAGGGGGGACCTGATTGAGGTCTACAAAATCATGAGAGGTATAGACAGGGTGGATAGCAAGAAGCTTTTTCCCAGAGTGTGGGACTCAATTACTAGGGGGTCACGATTTCAGGGTGAGAGAGGAAAAGTTTAAGGGAGATATGCATGGAAAGTTCTTTACGCAAAGGGAGGTGGGTGCCTGGAACGCGTTGCCAGCGGAGGTGGTAGAGGCGGGCACGATAGCGTCATTTAAGATGTATCTAGACAGATACATGAATGGGCAGGGAGCAGAGGGATACAGATCCTTGGAAAATAGGTGACAGTATAGATAGAGGATCTGGATCAGCGCAGGCTTGGAGGGCCGAAGGACCTGTTCCTTTGCTGTAATTTTCTTTGTTCTTTGTTCAAATATTGACATCACTTGCAAGGCCAACATTTAACCTCCATCCTGAATTGCAATTGGTAAGGTGGTGATGAGCCATTTTCATCAATTGGCAACTGTACTTATGATGTAGACACACTGAGTCCTGTTCCCTAGGAAGGCCCAGCATTTTGACCCAGAAACTGTGAAGAAAATGACAGTAGGAGACAGTGGCTTTGTTATTGACACTGAGCTAGAAATCTGGAAAATATATTACAAACCTATTGACTCCCACAGTTACCTGGAAAGTATACTTCCTCACACCCCACTTCCTGAAAATACTCCATTGCATTCTCCTAGTTCCTCTTTGTTATATCTGTTCCAATGATTTCAGCTTCTTCAAGGGGGCCTTTGAAATGTCTGCCTTTTTCCTCAACCGACAATTCCCGAGCACTGTAGTTGACAGAGTCCTCAGTCGTATATGACACATCTCCTGCACTTCTGCCCTCACCCACTCTCCTGCTTCCCACAATGTCAGTTGGGTCCCCCTGGTCCTCACTTTCCATTACACCAGCAACCACAGCCAAAGAATCATTAGCTGCCATTTCCACCACCTCCAGCAGGATGCCCCCACCAGACACATGTTCCTCTTCCCTCCCTTGTCAGCCGTCCACAGGCACTGTTCGCTCTGGGACACTCTGGTCCACTCCCGACACCTCTCCACACCCCTACAGCACCTTCCCATGTAATTGCAGAAGATTTAATACCTGTCATACCAATTACAAGTTCTCATCCTAATCACAAACTATCCTGATATGCCAAAATATCACTGTTCCTCTCCTGTCGCTGGATCAAAACCCTGGAACTAACTTCCTGACAGCACTGCAAATTCACTTACAGCACATAGACTGTAGTGGCTCGAGAAGGCAGCTGACCACCACAGCCAGGAATGCATAATAATTGCTGGTCTAGCTAATAATGTCTGCAACTTGTACAATTTAAAAACAATTTTAAAAACTCCAGTTAGTGGTTTTCACATACTTTTTTTGAAAAATGCTTAAATTGTTTTCTGCACTTCTTGGATTTAATTGCAGTAAAGATTTAATGTTAAAATGCAGTAATTAATGCTAATCATTCTCATTCTATTTGTTCTAGTACATGCATCAGTGGAACCAGGTTGGCTACAAGGAACATATGAAGGGAAAACAGGACTGATCCCTGCAAATTATGTTGTCTTTCTTTGATAACTGCTAGCAAGACTAGAACATCTCCATGGTATCCATGGTGAACAAAATGGCACAAACTGAAAATGCTATATTCCAGAACAGCTAAACAGATGTCAGACAGTCAGAAGTGATGGAATATCTGTATCTGCAGAGTACATACCTTTTTACGGTGTGGAATATAGGATTGAAGTCTGCATCAATAACTGTTCTCTTTAATAAAATCACTCATCTTATTATCCATAGTTATTGATACCATTCATTTTACAAAGTTGCAAATGGAAAAGATAGTTGAATTTCAGTATATATAGATGTGCATATATGTTTTAAAAAAACTATGGTATTTTCATTTAAAGACTCCCTGTTTTAAGTACCAAATATTGGATATGGGTTATATCACAACAGTATGACCAGTGGAGGTCTTATTTCATTGATATCTGTTTATTTCCATGAAAAATGTCACATTGGATGAAGAAAGGAGAAATGTATACATGTTGAATGATCTCAGCCTGCTGTCTTCCTCTGTAGCAAATGTGAGGCTGCCATACCAAATTTATAATGCCAAAGTACATAAGGACTAATGAATCAATTGACACCAAAGTTTTGAGACAGTGATTTTTCCAAGTCTCCAGTGTTGTGTTGATCTCAGATCATCTGCAAAAACCTCAAGCCTTCCCTGGGCATATCCAATTTTCCAACAATCAAGTATTGATTATAATCTAATTGTTGCATATAGGAAAACTACACAGTACTTTTTACATAATTTTAGTTTCTCTTGTATCAAAGTAATGTTGACATATTTGTGTAGTTGTTATATATATGACTATTGATAATTCTGCTACAAATCAAAAATTACTTTATTTCTGCTACATAGATTTGAAATATAATGTTTTTGGGGCAAATAATTGGATCAACAAAATTTTAGATTTTTCTCAAAAAAGACACTGCCAAGCTTTATGAAAAAAAGTCAGAGAGAGAGAGAGAGAATTGTTGTAGCCTTGAGGACAAACCGCACTTTTTACTCTAATTTTATTTTATTCCAGTACACTGGTGTATTGGCATCTTTTCTTAAATATCAATTTGTTTTCATTAAGTATATATCATACAGTGGTTACATTGATAGTTGAAACTATATAATGTCAAATAGTTTAGTTGGTTTTAGTATATTTAATTATTAATATCTATTACAAAATGCTAAATGAGTTCAACTGAATGTTTTGTGTTCATTCAAAATTCTTATCATAAAATTCCCTGGCTGTACCAAGAACTTAGTATACCGTCTACACAATGTTACTATTATTTTTAATGGACTTGTATTTGTGGTACAATATATTAAAAATAGACATATTTAAAGACTGAAGAATGATAGAATGAGTAGAAATTTACAGTCAAATGATTTTGGGCCAATTTGTATACTTTGGAATAATGTGAATGCTGATACTACATGGAAAAATGCACGTTAATCACTACAGTGGTCACAAGAAAGGATTTTTTGTGTGGAAGCAAAATAAATTATATTTAGCTACATTGATGTGGGATTATGTGTTGGATTGGCAGATTTTACCTTTCCAAATAGTGACACTTTTTTACATTGAATATGGTGATTTATTAATGGTACAATTGATTTAAAATGCCATTTTCAACTTCAGAAGACTATTTTCTGATCAGACAAGACTCTGCAGTAATGTAATTTATGTTTCAATAAAAGTGAAAAATGTGGAGTCTGGGAATTTAGCTCACTGGATCTCTCATTCTAGGCCCTTCGATTTAAAACCTGAGCAGATTAACATTTTGGTAGCAATTGGTTTAATTTACTGCCACTAAATTATGTGATGCTGTAATTTTGTAATATCCTTAGTACAAAATCAAAGAGTAGATTATGAAATCAGCTCCAGAGAAACAATGGGCAGAATCTTCCCACTCCCTGAAGGACATGGGCAATGGTTGGTCAGTTGATAAAATATGGTGAAAACAGAAAAATGAGGTTCTTGATGTAAGGAAAGAAAAGTTTGAATTTCACTTTAAAGTTTTAATGGAAGAAGAGAATCTTGCTAATGAGCAGAGAGGCCCATTTACACATATTAACATCTAATTATTATAAAATCTCACCTCACTTGTATGCAGTTTGCTGTTTTCCCAGGCAGTGAAGAGAAACTAGATGGCAACAATATTCAGTATAAAAGTCTGAGCAGGTAACCAACAACTGCAGCCCATAAGCCCATCTTCTCTAGTGTCCAACTTGGTCAGCATTCCCCAACATCTCAAAATATACTCCATGGGCAGTGACTGCACTGTCCCTCAAAAGGATTTGGTGAGTGAGAGGCATTGAGTGAACACAACATAGTATATTGAGAGTACCAGACCAGAAGCCTTGGTGGGGAGGTGGTGCACTCTCAGTTACAGTGAGTGTTGCCCAGGCAAGAGAAGGTGGTAACACTTACACTTGCAGAGAGCAGAAGGTCATTAACCTCTTGCAGCTATCCTGCATGTTCCTCCTGACCTGGATTGCTACTTCAGACCAGGCTGGGAGTGTTTGATATGGTGCATGGCTGGCATTTTAAAAATGGCACCTGCAGCATGAGTACTGGAAGATCCCAGTACTAGTGAGCATTTGATCGCTACTGACCGCAAGAGCAGTGCTCTGGAGGCATCGTACATAGTTATTCAGGTGAGTAGAAGAGAATTGCATGAAGTAACTCGCTGGAGCCTGTGGAGAGAAACCCCCATGAACTCCCTACAATTCTCCTCTGTTCACCTAATTATGTGTGCACAATGCCTCCACAGCAATGCTCTTGCAGTCGGCAGTGATTAAATGCTCCATTTGGCTTTGGAATGAATTTTGATGTACTCCGAGGCTGCTGGGTATGAAGAGGACTATTAAAAGACTCACTTCAGCACTGGGAGGTGATGGCCTAGTGGTATTATCACTGGACTGTTAACCCAGAGACCCAGATAATGTTCTGGGGACCCGGCAGATGGTGGAATTTGAATTTCATAAATATCTGGAATTAAGAGTCTAATGATGACCATGAATCCATAGTTGATTGTTGGAAAAAACCATCTGGTTCACTAATGTCCTTTAGGGAAGGAAACAGCCATCCTTACCTGGTCTGACCTACATGTGGCTCCATGTGGTTGACTCTGAACTGCCCTCTGGGCAGTAAATGCTGCCTTGCCAGCAACACCCTCATCTCGTGAATGGATTAAAATAAAGCACTTCCTCCCCATTTTCATCAGGGCAATAAAACAGAAAAAAAGTTGTCTAGCCCTCACCTCTCAACTCCTCACACTCTCTTCATGTTCACTCTATGCCATCATATGCTCCTGAACCCACCATCATGGTCCCTCATAACTTCCATTTAAACCAATGCTTCTAAATCTGTCACTCATGCCAAGCAAAGCCAATTTACCCGTGCTGCATGGCCTCTCATACCCCAAGCCAACTTGCATGGCACCTTACACCCTTTATATCAAAATCTAGCACTTACATACTCATTAACTCAGTACATTCTGCATAGAAAATCATCAAACCTTATAGTAATAATACTGTGAGAAAAAGATTTTTTTTAAAAAACTGGCTCTCATAGATTCCTGGAAGCAAAACTGTTTTTTTTTTTGCGACAGCCCTAGAAATGTATTAGTTAACCAGGCCTTTGAAGTATTAATAGCAGAAACAGCAAGCACTCAACACTTCTTTTGCTTATGCAAGTAAACATTGAGCAATTGAGAAATAGATTTCAGATTACACTGTGAATCAAACGATGTTTTACCCTGGCTGTAATTTGTTCAACAAATTACTCCAACTGCCCAGCTTCTCAGCCAAGTCTTATCATGAATTGGGAGACAGTAACACTCATAATCCAAAATGTCAGGCTAATGTTCTAGGGATGTAGGTTTTATCCACAAATTGTGACATCTGATTTAACTAAAAATCTGAAATTAAAAGTGGGTCAGTGGTGACAATATAACCGGTGGAGATTTGTGTAAAAGTCTGTGTGTTTTACCAATATCCTTTAGGGAAGGAATCTGACATCCTTTTGACTTGATAGAGGTGTACAAAATGATCAGTGGTATAGATAGAGTGGACAGCCAGAGACTTTTTCCTAGGGTGGAGGTAGCTATTACGAGGGGACATAGTTTTAACGTGAGTGGAGGTAGATATAGGGGAGACGTCAGATGTAGGTTCTTTACTCAGAGAGTGGTCGGGGCGTGGAATGCATTGCCGGAGAGGGTAGTGGAGTCGGCCTCATTAGGGGCATTTAAGCGACTATTAGATAGGCATATGGATGATAGTATAAGGTAGGGGTGGAGGTTAGATAGACCTTAGGTTTAGGGTAAAAGTTCGACACCACATCGTGGGCCGAAGGGCCTGTATTGTGCTGTACTGTTCTATGTTCGATGTTCTTACTTGGCCTGGCCTACCTGTGACTCCAGACTCAAAAAATGTGCTTTACTCTTAACTGCCCCTCTGCAAAGTTAGGGATGGACAATGAATGCTCACCTAACGTTGTCCGCATCCTGTGAATCAATAAAAGAAATTCTTGATTTGTGACTGACACTTTTCTTTGACTGTAGTTAAAAGTTTTTTTTTTCCGAAAGTAATACACAAATGCTTTAAAACGTTTTCACACGTGGCATTATAGCGAACTAATGAACCTCATAGCAGAGTATATATTGAGTGAATAGCATTGAATGACCATAGGAAGACATCAGGGTATAAGACAACATTGAAGGTAGGTAGAGAGGTATGGTGTTTATTAAAGGCAGTAATGTGTCAGTAGAGGGATATGGTTTGGGATTCAGGATTTGAGGGACCATGGGAAGTGGGAAGAAGAGCAAAGGATGGCATAGGGACATGGATAAAACCCTTTAACTTACCTTTCAAAGGTACGTTCATGCAGCTGATGGTTAATGATACCTCTGAAGGGCTGTGATGTACAACTCTTTGCAGAATTTCAGCAGGTCTGGCAGCATCTGTGAAGGAAAAAAGAGAGTTAACGTTTTGCGTCCAGTGACCCTTCCTCGGGTCACTGAACCCAAAACATTAACTCTGATTTTCCCTTCACAGATGCTGCCAGACCTGCTGAGCTTTTCCAACAACTTTGTTTTTGTTCCTGATTTACAGCAATGGCAATTCTTTTGGTTTTTCTTTGCAGAACTTGTCTGATTCCACTAAAATTGTAAAGGACTAGGAAATGCTTATACCTTCAATGAATCAGCCAGGTCAGGACTGCGGATTATGGGCTCGTAATCTGCACAATTCTGCATCCTTTAACAAATATTGGGAGAACCAAAAATCCTGAAATCCAGTCCCAGGTACCATTTTTAAAGATCCACAGTGACCTCCAAACCACATGAAAACCAGGCTTATATTTTGGGGACCTATCCATAATAAATGTGAATGAGAGATCTGCTACTTATCCCACCAAAACCTAAAACAATGTCATCTGAGAAATTAGCTTTTCTCCCATTTCTTTGATCTGGGTTCAAACTGTGGCCAAACAAAGCAGAATAACAACTTTGAGTAAGTTACTTCATACATCAAATTTAAGGAATAGAAATCATGTGACTTCAACAACAAATGTGTACAATTATTTTTATTGTTCAGTGCTACCCAGTGTTATCTTTCTTGGAGTTGTGTCAGCAAGCCATATATTTGATTGATTCAAAAAGATTATTATGGGACAGACACAAACTCCATTTTGTAAGGAGATCACAACGGGCCAAGCAGCATCCATGGAGAGAGACCAAGCTAACGTTTCGAGTCTAGATGACTCTTCATCAGAGCTAATGTGAAATGTGGAGGGAACAGCATTTATGCAATGGGGGGTGGTGGTGGTAGAGTGCTGGGGGAGGAAGGATATTGATAGTTCAGATTAAGTGATCGGAATGTGAGAATGGCAGAACTATAGTGTGTCTACCTGCCAAACTGGAAAGGGCAGACAGTTCCACTGGGGTGGGTGTGGGGGTGTGGTGTTGAGGGGAGAGAGGACATGGTGACAGAGAATGTAACAAGTAAAGCTAAAAGAAAGGGAAGGAATGGGAGTGGGTTCACAATTTGAAGGTGTTGAACTCAATATTAAGCCCCAGAAGGCTGTAAAGTGCCCAGTCTGAAGATGTGATGTTTTTCCTCCAGTTTGCACTGTGATTCACTGGAGTATAGCAGCGTGCCAAGGACAGACAAGTGGGCATGTGAGCAGGACGCAGTGTTAAAATGACTGGCTACAGGAAAGTTGGGGACATGCTTGTGCATCGACTGGAGGTGTTCTGCAAAGTGATCACCCCGTCTGCGTTTGGTTTCTCCAATATAGAGTGGGCCACATTGATTGGGGCGAATACAATACGCAAGATTGGAGGAGGTACAGGTGAAATGCTGCTTCACCAGGAAAGACTGTTGAAGGCCCTCAGATGGTGAGCAGGGAGGAGGTGAAGGGGCAGGTATTGCACCTTCTGCAGTTACATGGGAAGGTGCCATATGGAGGGAGGGTGGTGTTGGTGGTTGAGGAATGGATTAGGATGTTCTGGAG